GCTGAAGTTTCCTTCAACACATCTTGCAGTACATCATGAGATAGATGTAAACGGATTTGAGATTGAGCCTTCAAATCCTTTCTTTTCTTCTCGTCGTCGGTCCAAGCCGCTGGCATTCTCTCAAAACCCAAGAGAGCCTCATCGAGTTCCAATTGAATTAGAACGTCCCTCATCTGCACTTGCCATAGTGGAAATCGAGTATTTCGATCGAGCCTTGGAATATCGGACTTTACTGAAGTCATCGTATAAAGCGATGATAAATAATTCCCAAAAATCAATACTCAAACCTGGAAGCTCTGATACCAATTGTTGTAAAACCGAAACGAAATTGTCTCGATAATTAACCCAAAACCAATGCTCCAAATAAGAACCGTATCGATTATGCGGAAGAACGGAAATTATATATCAAAATTCAACGAACAAATAAACCAAGTAATCGAGTATCGAACGCACACAAGTATATAATTGCAGAATTTAAACGAGGAAGAGAACGACACCTTATTTACGTGGAAAACCCAAATCGGGAAAAATAACACCACGGGCGGAGGAGACCACCGAGAAATTCACTATCGATAATCGAATACAATTTTGATGCATTTAAAAAGAGAAAATTTCAACCATATATATAGGTGTGTGGTTGTGAAAAAAAAAAACTAATTCAATTTGTAAAGCCACAAAATATGGTAATGATTTTGCTTTCCAAAAAACATGGCTTCCACAAAACATACCATGTTTAGTGGTAAAATCTCTTTGACTTTGGAGACAAAGAACAACACTATTTATAGAACACGTTTACACACATATATATACACAACATGAACCATCACAACCTTTCAAGGGTGACTGCTTAATGTAAATAGTAACTTGTCATAACTGTTTAACTTTAACCACCATTAAATCCAAGTCTAGATTACTTAATTTCACCAACATCATCATTCCAAATATCGTAAATAGATAAGCCATATATATTGTTCTTCATCTCTCTCCATTTAATGGTATTGTAAAAGAATTTGGAGTTATCATCTCCTTTGATATCCGACTTTAAACGATTTGCTTGCATTGTATTATTTGGTCTATGTAACGGAACTGAGAACATTCGAGAAGGTGATATAGTGCGAGTAGGCGCAAAGCTGATCAATTTTTTTTTTTTTTTTTTGTACGGGTGTCCGGGCCAAAACCCGACTAATCCCCGGCAAATTTGGAGGCTAAACATGGCCCCACTTAAATGTCGTCAACACTCCACTCCCAGGGCTCAAACTCGGGTTCATGACTATGCCATGCCCAAGCCTTTACCACTAGGCTGGAAGGTCTCTGACAAAGCTGATCAACTTTAGTTGCTATTAACTTCAATAATTTCAACTCTACTCAATAACATGACTTTGGGGGGTATTTAAAGTCCTTTGGAACATCCCTCCAAGCTTAGGAACACGAAAATTATCAAAGTAGCAATTAATTGTTGAATGACAATATAACTCGTGAAACAGAAGATAGATAGAATCTGAAACAAAAGATCGAATGGGGTAATTGGGTACAAGCATTTCTAGTTTCTAAAAGTAGAACCAGACATGAAAACTCGAAGAATAGGCTTCACCCTCTCTATTGTCTTAATGGTACAGAAGAGTATTATCCTATATAAAACCACCATACCAAACAAGATTCCAAGATCAATCCACTTAGAGTATCCCATCTCGATGTGCAATGTACCCGTCAATATAATCTTACCATCAACGGTAGGAGGACCTCCTTGGTACTCAGGGAACTTAAGCCCTCCAAACTCATTTTTGTACAAACCCTGTAATGCATACCTGTGGAAGGAAATGTAGTACAATGGGTATCTCCAGAATACATCAGGTATTTCGTTTGGCAACCGAAAGTATCCTGCACCTAGTACCATCAATCCTAGGATTCCAGCACCGGATATGATTCCCATGAGCATATTTGGCACAATGGCAGCTACGACCATCATGAGAGATTCAACTAGTAACATTGATGCAAAGATGACTGATGCAAAATAGGTGAATTGTTTGGGTTCTCTTTGAAGTCCCATGAGTGAGTAAGCAATAACTCCTGGGATTAAAGAAATGGCAAGTAGGTAAGGTATTGAAGAGATGGCATTGCTGATAACAAAAGATCCAACCCCATAATGCCCGCTTAATCTTTCCCATTGGAAAACCTACATAGATGCACAGTTATAAATATACTTCTTATCAAATGAAATTGGTTCAAGTATATTTTTTTCTTTCAAGAACACATAAGATGTATCAACCAACCTTCATTTCCTCCATGAACGAAGGGAAGCCACCGATAGCTAACATGGGCAGGAATGAAGAAACAAACACGACCATTGAAACCCTAGCCTGTGCCATAAGAACCATAACTAACTGCGTACAATACTTACACGTAGATGATTGGAAACAACACAAGAAAATAAATGTTTTTTATGTCAGTTTCTTCTATATTGACTACAGATTTTCGCATTGCGAAAGGTTTTTTGTGGTGAAAATATGCAAAAAATATGCTGTTTAAAGTTGTTTCACCTCGAAAGTAAAACTTACATTGATGGATCCAAATCCGGAACCAATTTCGTGGAAGAGTGATCCTAATGCAAAACCCAACCCGATATATATGAAAAGTCGCAGCCAGTAGTATCCTAGATCACGATGCATGTTTATGAATGATCTTTCAGTTAGCACCAGACACTGTGTAATGAAATTGGCTTGCAAGCTTCTTTTTCCATCAACTAGGCCTCCTACCTTCGAAAACCACAACTTTCATCATCTTCTGCTGTACGTAATGTAAACGTTGGTTTTATGAAAGAACATTGAAAATCATTTACCTCTTCATTTAGTGTAGCAATTTCACCTCTTACTTCCATATATATCCCAGATGACTTGTACGATTCAGCAAGTACATCGATTACTTGCTCAACAGGATTCTCTCCACAAACGGGTTCCTAAGTGTGGGAAAAAGAAAAAAAAAACGAACAGTTGAATCAACAATTAACATGAATTTTGACAAATATCGAACAGTTATAATTAACTTACCTCATTAAAATCTGTGTTGATAGTTATGAGATAATGATCAGCAGGATTTTGTAGATCTGGACATGGAAAGCCATTCACTGCAAAAAACTGATGATCACAACAAGAATAGTTACATTCATGTTTCTTTATGATATCTAATTGTTAATATATGTATATATCTTTCATGATCATAAGATGAAGATATGTATAACCTGATTTGCTGCAAAAGTAGGACCGAAGTATATTGTCTTCCCCAAAGAGAGAAGACAAAGATTGTTGAAAAGCCCAAAAACATGACTATTAGGTTGATGGATGGCTACAACAACTGTCATCTGGTATTGTTGAGTGAGTTTAAGAATCCGGTTCATGATGTAGTACGACGCTGCACTATCGAGACCACTCAAAGGCTCATCAAGCAAGAGAAGCTTGGGGTGTGTTAAGAGTTGTAAGCAGATGCCTACGCGCCGCTTTTGACCACCGCTGAGTCCTTTAATCCCCCACCCTCCTATTCTTGTGTTCATAGAATCTTGGAGCCCCATATCCCTTATAGTTCTATCAGCTCTCTCCCTCTTCTCTGATTTTGGCATCAACTTAGGCAGTTGAAGCTCAGCTGAGTAGTAGACTGTTTCTTTAACAGTTAGAGTCCATGTTAAAACTTGTTCCTGAGTCATATATGCCTACATCATATAAATTTTCAAAATCTCTACTTCAGTTAGTTACTTGTGTTGGAAATGCTTCTTAAGTAAATGAATGTAAAAGTGATTGACACCAAAGGATAGCTTCGTACCAAAGTGCCATACGTAAGCCTTTGTTTACATCCGTTGATTAGAACTCTTCCTGCGTGCCTTGTGTTCGAAGCCAATCGCCCTGCAATTGTACACACGTAAAAATGGCATCGCATATAACATGGTGCTACTACTTTTGTGCCCCAAAGCAGAAGCAGACCCATAAATCCTTTAAAAGGTGGTGCCATTTAACCTTTAAGGGTGTACAGCAAATTTATATCATAATTGTAGTTCTAAAAATACAGTGCCACACAACAAAACATTATATATGGTATCTCCAAGGGAGTAATCTGTATGATATCATGTCAATATCAACAGAAACTAACTGAAAACATAAACAAGCAAATTGAATATGGAAACAAGTATTAGTTAGTAATGTAAAAGTGATTTGGTTTATAACAGCATACCAGCCAAAGAATCAAGGAGAGTGGACTTGCCACAGCCAGAAGGACCCATGATGGCAACGATCTCTCCTGGTTTAGCGTAACCAGTGGCACCAGTAAGTATGGATGTACATCCCTCTTTGCCCACACTTACGCCGAGATCTTCCCATGTCAAGTATGCTCCAGTCCCCCTCTTCTTCGTCACAACGGACTCATCCTTGACGACTCCTCCATCTGGTTCAGGGCTTATTTCGTTGTTATGCACAAAAGTACCCATTCAAGATCAAAGATAAAGTATATAGTACTTCAAAGAGATTTTGAGGGAGAGACTCTTGATCAGTACGTAGTTTGCTACATAGTGAGAAGAGTACTGGGCGGTTACATATAAATAAGAGCATAGGAAGTGTCAAGACTTGCAGTTGATGGACACTTATCTTATTCTCTAGATACAGCTACGTTCCAATTTTTTGGAGACCCTGCTACATCCAAAACTTTTGATTAATTGCATAAAGGAGATAACAGATTATATATGTTAAGAACAAAAATGAGTTAAACCTAAAACGATTAACAATTTGAAACTAAACCTAAACCATTAATGATTTGAATCTAAAACCAAACAATTAATGGTTTGAACCTAAATAATTTCGGCTATACACATGTAAATTTAGGCCCCAAAATTTTGAGGGCCCTATTCAAAATTTCACATTTAACATGTTGAAGGACGGCCCTATCTACGTGTTATTAATATTTTTTTTGCTGGTCCACTGGCGTTCTCTTACTCACAAGAGAGGGGGATGGCAATGAATTAATCTCTATAGTTAGGTGAAAGGCACCTTTCCATTTTTGATACAAAGTGAGATAAGGACATAGCAGGACCACTCGGATTAGTTTCCGTTAACAAAAATAGAAAGTTATCAATTCGTCAGTGATTCGTCACAAATCTATCGCCAGCAGAAAAAACGGTCAATGGAGCCTCTTTGTTTTGTAGCACGAGAAGGAAAAAATTAAGTTGATGAAAGAATTATAACCTTAGAAGAACAATAAACGATAAGGTTGGTGAAAACTGAAAGATGACGAGGGGACCTACTTAATTAAGGACATACAGTAGCACAGGTCACCAATGGCTTCATTGTATTGGCAAAAAATTTACAATCCAAAAGGGTTCCACCAATAATGTTTCTTTGGGGTTGTTTGGCAATTGATGAATGGTTTGGTGCAGAATGATTCAGTGATCAAAATGATTATGAGACTCTCATGATATAGTGCAAAACGAAATATAATTGTTTGGTAATTGTGTACAATGAAATTAGGGCTCTTAATGGTTAAGGGAAATCCAGGATACAAAATCATTCAGAGRGTTTTAGAACCATTAAGAGACAAACTTTTTTTTTACCAAACAAGATTCACCTCTTAATGAAACTATAAAGAAGTAAACAAACAACCCCTTTGTGTGACCTGTATTTTTTTAAAGCTAGAATTATGATAGAAATTTAAGATATAATTGAGTTGGTTTATGGAGTATAAATAAAGTCTTGCTATATATCATGATTTTGTTAACGGAAAATTTGTATCCTCTCTTTTATGGTCAAATCGTGCAATGTTTTGAAAAAAATTCTAATTCTGTCTTCGGGTGACTTGAGAACTACTTAGCTATGTATAATCCAAAAATAGGACGGCAAATTATGATCAGATGAAATAAATGTATTAAACAGATGACGAAAAATAGGCTTCGTATGAAGCATCACACATAACTAAATGCATTAAACATATGATGAAAAACAGGCATTGTCATTTATGAAGCTTTCATACATAACTAAATGTATTAAACACATGAGGAAAAATTAGGGTTTGTCATTATGAAGCCTCACACATAAATAAATGTATTAAACACTGTCACTACTAGAATAATGAGTATTTCTGGCGCATTTTCTGGTGGACGGAATCCGCCGGAAATTTACCGGAGGATTTCCGTGGGACAAGAAAAAAGTCAACTTATGTTGACTTCTGCCGGAAATCCGCCGGTAAATATATTCTGATAATATTTCCGGCGGATTTCATAATTACTTATTTTAGCCTTGTATTTAAATCTAATTGCAACAATTTAACGGCGGATATTTAATTAATTTTTTAAAATTAAGATCCGCCGGAAAATAATTAAGAAATACTATTTATTTTCAACTATTTCCGGCGGAAGCAAGAAATGCCGTCTATTTGGGTTTGGATACAACCAAAATCCCAATTGGGTCTTGACTGGGAACTACACAGAAGGTGATTCATCGTCTTCAAATAGTCGGTATGTGTCTCTTTTTCTTTGATGATGTTTATGGACTTAGTTTATAATTCATATAATATTATAACGTTTTATTTATTTTATAGAAAATTGAAGCCTTAACTTCCAAGATTCTGGATTTACAAGAAGAAAATGAGCAACGACGGATCGTGGCGGAGCGACAAGAAAAACTTATTCAAGAAATGGCTGCTTTGTTTAACCAACTCCGTCAATCACAACAATTCTCACCGCCACCGAATTGAATATCGTTTGTTTATTTGGAACAATTTAGTTTGTTTGTAACAATTGTGTGATACTTTAAATTGAATATCGTTTGTTTGTAACAATTGTTTAGTTTAATGTATGATATTTGGTTGCATTTCATCTTTTTAGTTTTTTCAATATTTTTACAGATTTACATGTTTTAAATATTTAAGGTAACAATATTCTGAAAATAATATTTGCATTATAGTTCGGGCGGATTTATCCGCCGGTAATATTTTTAAAATAAATAATTTTTAAACAATAAAAAAATGTATTTCTGGTTGATTTCCGGCGGATAATTCCGCCGATAATATTTTTAAAAAGTTTTAAAATATTAATTTTATTAAATTTGTTTTTCCGGCGAAAAATACTACCGGTGGAAATTTCCGCCGGTAAATTAAATCATTTTTAAAAAAAATTCCTTAAATTTTTAATTAATTAAATCAAGATTTCTTAATTAAACCGGCGAATTGTTTCCGGCAGACAGAATCCGCCGGTAAAATAAAACATCCGTCAGTAAACTCGCCGGTAAATCAATCACCGGCGCCAACTTTTCCGACGGCCATATCCGCCAAAAATGCAAATTATCGACGGATTTCCGACAGATATAACCGCCGAAAAAGTTGTCCTGTTTGGTAGTGAAATGGAGAAAACACTCTCTCTACTTATCACCAATTCTAGTTTTCCCTTAAATGCATTGAGATTTTTTGCCTATCAATTTCAAAGTCTATAAGATTGGATGAGATGTGTGGAGGGCTGTTGCCAGGAGAGGGGATAGGGCAGGTAAGAAATAACTGCTTAATTTTTTTTTTCTAAATATATAGTATTAATTAAAAAATAATTAGTAAATAAAATCGACTCAAAATTTTTAAATATTTAATATAACCCAAAATTAATTTAGTATTGTATCAAAGTGTCCAAATATTTATTAATTGATAAGTTGATTTATGGTTAATAAGGTAACTGATTTAGTTGATAAGTAAACTGTTAGTTGATAAGTTAACTGATGAACTAAATACATTTGAAGAAAATTAGTTGATAAATTAACTGAAACATGTAAAATGACAAAAAATAACATATTTAAAAATCAATAAATTTTAATATTTTATAGTATATATTTAGAACAATTTACTAATAATATAATATGTTAATTAATATAGACCATATGGTAAATAAAATTAAATAATAGAATATGTTAATTAATAGATATTAATTTGATTTATTATATATATGGTATTTAAGTTTTGGATTTGTATAACGAAATACAAAATTTAGAAAATATCTATATTAAGGAAGCGTTTAGCCGCAAACATGAGTGGATATGAAAGAAGTGGACTGGAGCGGACAAGACAAGTGTCTGTTTCGTGTTTTGAACGATTAGGACTGAAAATGACAAAAGTAGACAAGTTGTTCTTAAAAGTTATTTGATGATTATATATATATATATATATATATATATATATATATTGTATAATCGTCATAAATGACACAAATATAGTAAATATTTAAATAATTTAATTTATAAATATGTTTACACAATTTTCATATGCATAAATACATACATATATAATGGTATCAATTTGAATGAAAATTTTGATATAATTGACGGTACTTCAAAAAACTTGATTTGTACAAAAGAAAAACTATGTTTTATTTGGTTTAGAATGGTGAAGATTATTGCAGCAACAATCATTGTGGAGGTAGAGGAAATGGTAGTTGGTGGATGATGTTGGCTGTAGAGGACGTGAAGATGGTGAGTAGTGGTGGTGGTCGACAATGGTGGAGGAGGTAATTGTGTTCGATGTTGTGGAGGTAATGATGGTGATGGCAAGTGGTAGTGGTAGCGGTAGCCAATAATGGTGGTGGAGGTGGTTGACAATGGTGGAGGAGGTAGTTGTGGTCGATGTGGTGGAGGTAGTGATGTTGATGGTTGGCGGTAGTGGTAGCGGTAGCCAATAATAGTGGTGGAGGTGGTCGACAATGGTGGAGGAGGTAGTTGTGGTCGATGTGGTGGAGGTAGTGATGATGATAGTCGATGGTAGTAGTAGCGGTAGCCAATAATAGTGGTGGAGGTGGCTGACGGTACTAGTGGTGGGGATGGACGGTGGTGATTGGTGGCTGAGGTAATGGTGGGCAATGGTAGTGGTAGCCGATGATGGTGGTGGTGGTTATGATGGAGGTGGAAGTGGCCCACGGTGGTAGTTCTTGTGGAGGTAGTGAAGGAGGTTGTTGTAGTGGCAGAGGAGGTAGGGGTGGCGACGATGTACGGTGGTGATCGGTGGCTGACGGTAGTTGTTGAGGTAGTGGAAGAGCAGGTGGAAGTGATCATGATGGCTACCGATGATGGTGATTGATGCTAATAGCGATAGTGGCCATTAAAACAATTATGTATATTAAGGTTATATATCAAACGATAGTAGATTAACAATATTTTTGTTTTTGTCTCATCCTTATCCCGTTTTGTTCCATCTATTTTGGTGGATCAAAAAATCATTTTTTGTCCCATGTTGTTCCATCTTGACCCAGTTCTTATCCCGTCCCATATCGCACCAAACATGTAACAATGAGTTCTTGTCCTGTCTCATGTCGTGCCAAACATGGGACAATGAGTTTGTCTCGTCATCTTCTGTCGATACGGATAAAATGACATGCACTTGCAGGATTTGGCAAGTCTCTAGAATTCCATGTGCTCACGTAGTTGCGCCTATCTATTTCATTAACCGGGACCCAATAAGTATATGTAC